ATATATATATATATATATATACATATATATATATATATATATATATACATATACATACATACATACATACATATAAATATATATATATATATACATATATAAATACATATAAATATATATATATACATATAAATGTATATATATATATACATACATATAAATATATATATATATACATATAAATGTATATATATATATACATACATATAAATATATATATACATATAAATACGTAAAAAATATATATATACATATAAATGTATATATATACATATAAATATATACATATAAATATATATACATATATATATATATATATATATATATACATATATATATACATATAAATATACATATAAATATATATATACATATAAATATACATATAAATATATATACATATACATATAAATATATATACATATATATGTAAGGATGGTACTTTTCTGTGGCCCGGTTTGTGTCTGTCTTCCCTCGTGCTCCCTCATTAGTTCCATTGTTACCACCCGTGTCTCGTCCCAGCTGTCTGTAATCATGTATCGTCTTGTCTCTGTATATAAACCGTCTGTTCTGTCTTGTTCATCGTCGCGTCGTCTTTGTTGGGTCTCCTGTGTCTTCCCCTGAGTCTTCCTGGTTCCTCGAGTCCCCCGTGTCTCCTGAGTCCTCCTAAGTTTCCTTTGCCTCCTTCCTATGTTCATGTAAGTTTTGCTGCCCCGTCAGCTTGTTATTTTGTACTTTCATTTATCATTAAATTCCTATTTTTGTAACTCTGCTGAGTTGAGTCCCTGTTCTGTACTCTGGGTTCGCTCCTGACCACCCAATCCTAACAGTACGACGCGACCAGACTAGAACCCAGCGGGGCAGGGTTCTCTCTCGGCAACACTCACCTTTTTTCTTTTTCCCTCCTCATGCCCTGATGGACGAGCTCCATTCCGTCCCTGTCCTTCTGCTGTCCCACCGCCGCCGTAGTGGGAGAAGACGGTTCCGGAGGCAGTCTGCAGCGACCGGCCCGGTCTCGTTGGCCGAGCAGAACTTTAGAGCTGGTTCCGGTGTTTTTGTGGGAGCGGGGTCCGCCGCCTCACCTCCCAGGTTTCCGGTGGGGGAGAGATCCAGCGTCCCGCGGGAGCTCCGGTCCACTCCTGTTCGGTTCGGTGAGTCCGGTCCAATTGACGTTACAGGGGCGGGTTCCGTCGCCTCACCTTCCAGGTTCCTGGTGGGGGCGGAATCCGGCCTCTCAACGCCACTCCGCACCGCGGCTGTTCGACCCAGCCTGGCCGTACCTCCGGAGCGTATTCCTTGTGACTCTGTGGGGGCGTGTTCCGCCGCCTCACCTTCTAGGTTTCCGGTGGGGGCGGCACCCGTCACCACACCCACACATAAAGACATTCCCTTTTTTCATTCATTTTCTCCTGAAGATATTTTTCAAGTTAATCAGACCATTTTCAAATTATTTAATACTGCTAAAAATAACCCGTCCTCCTTTGATATCGTTTTGTCCCAGATGGAAGATTTTTTACTTTCTATCCCTAGTCTTTCTTTGCTCCCCGAGTATGATTTTTTTATTATCTAAGTTAGAGACTTTTAAGACCCCTGTTACAGCCATCCCTGAGGTGGACTCCACGCTGCACACAGCCCCTGAGGTGGACTCCATGCTGCATGCAGCCCCTGAGGTGGACTCCACGCTGCATGCAGCCCCTGAGGTGGATCCTCACCTCTCCTTTTCCGAGGGGGTTCCGGCGAACGCTCCTCACCTCTCCTGTTCTGAGGGGGTTCCGGCAGACGCTCCTCATCTCTCCTATTCCGAGGGGGTTCCGGCAGACGCTCCTCATCTCTCCTATTCCAAGGGGGTCCCGGCAGACGCTCCTCATCTCTCCTATTCCGAGGGGGTTCCGGCAGATGCTCCTCATCTCTCCTTTTCCAAGGGGGTTCCGGCAGACGCTCCTCATCCCTCCTATTCCGAGGGGGTCCCGGCAGACGTTCCTCAGCTCTCCTGCTCCGTTCCTGCCGCTGCCGCAGAGGGCTCCATTCTTGCCGCCGCAGAGGGCTCCGTTCCTGTTTCCTTTCCTGCCACAGAAGACTACGTTCCTGCACACGTCAGTCCATGTAAGATCCATTGAGATCACACTTAGTCATGCCCCCTCATACACATAGGGTTCCGTTCCTGCCGCAGAAGACTACGTTCCTGCCGCAGAGGGTTCCGTTCCAGTATCCGTTCCTGCCGCAGAAGACTCCGTTCCTGCCGCAGAGGTTTCCATTCCTGCCGCAGAAGACTCCGTTCCTGCTACAGAGGGTTCCGTTCTAATTTCCGTTCCTGCCACAGAAGACTCCGTTCCTGCCACAGAGGGTTCCGTTCCAGTTTACGTTCCTGCCGCAGAAGACTCCGTTCCTCCCGCAGAAGTTCCTGCTCCTGCTGAGCTCCAGGCCTCTCCGCCGTCTGCTGTAGAGCTTCAGGCCTCTCCGTCGTCTGCTGCAGAGCCACAGGCCTCTCTGTCTTCTGCTGCAGAGCCACAGGCCTCTCCGTCGTCTGCTGCAGAGCCACAGGCATCTCCATCGTCTGCTGTAGAGCCACAGGCCTCTCCATCGTCTGCTACAGAGCCACAGGCCTCTCTGTCGTCTGCTGCAGAGCCACAGGCCTCTCCGTTGTCTGCTGCAGAGCCACAGGCCTCTCCGTCGTCTGCTGCAGAGCCACAGGCCTCTCCGTTGTCTGCTACAGAGCCACAGGCCTCTCTGTCGTCTGCTGAAGAGCCTCCCCAGGCCTCCACGACAGCAGCAGCAACTCCTCAGGC